CGCCCCTTTGGGCGAGGTCTCCCCCTCCCCGAGAGCTGGGCTCTTGTGCACCTGCCGTGCGCTGGAAGGTGGGGGCCGGCCCCGGGCACTGGACCGGCCGCGGTAAGGGCCCGTCTCTCCTGGCGCCTTTTCAAGCGAGAGAAAAACCCCTCGCTTTAACCCCAACGATGCCGGCCCTGGCCGGGGTATATTTGAGTATTATTTTATCCCCATAGGTGATCAATGATTGTGTCCCATGATACGGACACATGAGCACACTTTGTTTATGTTGGTCCAGCGAGAGGTGCTCCACCACCCGGCTGACCATTCACAAGGGCTGCCTGTCCCCCCCCCCCCTCCCCCTTACCCTCCCGCTTCGCGGTCTCTCTTTTTTGCCGAGACACCCCAATCCCCCGCCTTCCTGTGCCGTGTCGGCGCAGGGGTCCTACGAGCTTGGGCGGGTCTCACTCATTTCGAGTCATTTTCATGTGCTGCCTGCGCCGAGTGATCCGTCCCCGCGCCCCCGCACTGATGTCAGACTGGCGCTTGGGTCGACAGGCAAGTCTCAATGCCTCCCCTCAGACAATCCGGAGACGGGGGGGGGGGGACCACGGGCCGAGCGGCGCAACTGCCCTGGCTACCAGATGCCTATGCACCCCCCCCCCCCCGGAGTGACCGCCCGATCGTGCAGGACCCGAAACAGCGTCCTAGTCGGCGTCCATGTCCCCCGGTTCGGGTGCCTTGCTGATGAGTGCGCCTCCGTTGTTGCCCCCCCCTCCCCCTCGCCTCAAAGGACGCCCCAGCCCCTAGCGGCCCATCCTCCCTCGGCCAAGGCATCTCTCCTCCGCCCCTCTCCCCCGCCCCCCTCCCCCGCCCCTCTCCCCCGCCCTCTTAGCACGCCATGTCCTTCGTCGGTCGCACGTGTGCCGGCCTTGGTCGGTCATTTGCCTCTGCCCGTGCCGCCACCACGACCGCCGCTGCCATCGGTACCCTCCCTCGGCATGTTACCCGGTCGCTGGCCACCTTGGCTCCCCGCCCCCTAGCCCCGGGCGTCACGTTCCCCGGGGCCACCCGCCCCATGGCGCGGCTGGCCTCCCCGCACGGCATGGCCCACTTCTCCACCAGCTCCGGCCCCGTCCAGGCTCAGGCAACTGGAGCCCCTGCCATCACCACCGAGCCAACTGCTGTGTCCGTTCGCTTCGCCGATGGCAGCACCTCCTCCTTGTACGCATCGGGTCTTCTCTCCCCATCACAAGCACATCCCCCCCTTCTCTCTCTCTCTCTCTCTCTCTCTCTCTCTCTTTCCCTCCAGCTGACATCCCACTTTGCCCCTGCCTTTTCCCCCCCCCCGTCCCAGCCATCACATCTGGCTCCGGGATCACTGCCTGTGCCCCGCGTGTCTCCACCCGGAAACCCTCCAGCGTACGGTGGACACCTTTTCCCTGGCGCCCGAGCAGCTGCAGGCTGCCTCCATTCGGCTGGTGCCCCCGACCGGTGATGCTCCCGCCCAGATGGAGATCACTTGGGCCGGTTCCGACGCGCACGTGTCCCTCTTTCCGCTGGCCTGGCTACAGACGCACGCATACGACCAGCGTGCGACCAACTACCAGCGCGACCTGATCACCGACAAGTGCGTGCATCACCGTCCGGCCCCGTGCCTCTTCTGACCCACCCGAGGACGCGCCTCTCACACGAAAACCCCGCGAATCGCCCCCCCCC